TATAGTTGCACAAACAAGAACCACTTGGATGAGGAGAGTAGCAGGGAAAGGCTCTTCTCCTATCTTGGGCACACGATGCTGTCGTCAGTCGATTTACAGTCGGGGGACGTCTCCCCTTTGCTGACCACGACGGCCTCAATAACCACCGCCTCCGAACCGCCTCTCCACGCCATCACGCTCTCCGTGCCCTCGACGGACGACCTGAAGACGAAACTGCTGCCTCCTGCCTCCTGTCCCGTGGCTGATGTAGACATGGACTACTCGGCTGCGGCAGACAACCCAGACTTTTTGCCTACGCACTTCAACGACCTACCCCCGGAGATACACGAGACCATCCTCGACCATATCCTTGGAGTCCGTGGCTCGACGCTTGCCTCTATCACCTCTGCAACAGTCACTACTTCGAGCTGGAGCAAGGCACTCCGACACCCTCGTAGAAAGGCCCTGTCTGACCTCGCCCTGGTCTCACGAGCATATAGAGCTCTGGTCCAGGGCAGGATCTACCGTCACAGTGAGTAGATAATAAAAATATTACGGTTTATGATCGATAAACGAGCGTGTTCATACTAATTGGCGTCCTTCTTCCTCTTCTGTACAGTCCAAGTCAAGGGTACGACGGACTGTCTGGCAGAATGTGCCAAATGGTTCGATGCACACCCTCACCTTAAACCATACGTCCGGCACATCGAAATATGGGTCCCAGTTTGGGGCGACCGACTGAGGAAATCTCATTTCTCTCCTCCCAGTCGCCGGGAGAGCGGACAGGCAAACTTTGGCGTCATCGAAACCAACACCATGGAGTCGTACATGCACGGCCTGGATGCCCTTTCCAGCAGCCGGACGAACTGCAACTTCAAGTCGGCCAGTCACAATGCTACATTACAACAGATCTTTGAGAGCGTTGCGTCTCAGTTTCCCGATGCAAAGATGATGACTCTGGAAGGCGGACACTGCAAAAAGCCCCCCATGATCAGACACTTTGAGAGCGATCCGTGGGGGGATAGCGGACTCGAGTCGTTTACTCCTCTCCCAAACATCCAGACTTTCATCATGAAAGGTGCATGGAACATCATGCGCGACTACAGCCACTGGACCAATCTGTCCACAGCCTTGCCTAACCTTCGCGAATGGCACTGCTTCTACGCCAAGTCCAAACGCGAAGCTCACATCACCATCTCAAAAGTTCTCAGGACCTTCCCACCTCAGCTGACCCGGCTCAACATCAGCCTCGACGGCTTCTGCAGTAAGACGAGCTCACGTGGATTCCTCAACCCGCAAGACGAAAAGCATCTTTGCCGACTGTTCGGCGCAATCCTCCCTCAGCTGGAATCCCTGACCTTCACCGGCAAGGTCTGCGCCAGCCTCTTCCTCTCCGGCAGAGCAGCAGTGCTCTCCTCACAGCGCAAATCAAAGCTGAAATCAGTAGACCTGGTCGTCAAGGCCTGCTGCTGGGGCCACGAATCCGACGATGGCTCCCTCATACCAACCGACATATCCGGCATCACTAACATGTCCTTCATCATCGAGTTTGAAAAACTAGTTATCGCTGCCATCCACTCGCTCGGAGCGCTACCCGCCCTCCAATACATTCGCATCCGGTTTATAGATCTCGATTCTATCTGCGGCCTCTTAAACCCGTATTTCCAGCTAGTCGGCAACACCTGCACGGGCGTATGGAGCGAGGCTATCCTTAAAACACTCGAAGAAAACAGGCCAGAGGCGCAGTTCGCAGAGCTGAATAATGGTATCCTTGAAGATTACGGCATCAACTCGCGAACAGGCACGCGATCATATCCCCGAAGCAGACCTCTTAGCATCAAAACGAGCTGCTACCGCATTATCGCCGACAAGTCGAAGCCTTGACCCATCCATCGCCCCCTTATCACCACCCATCTTCGCCATGGCCAGCCTACTTCCTCCTTTTACGGTCGCGACCCATGGCTCAACATCATCCTAGTCATCACCATCTCGTTCAAGCGTTACCCGAAGCTTACTTCAATATTTTACACAGACTACTTTTTTTTTTATTACTAAAAATCTACTTCCTTTCCTCCCTTTCATGGCTAGATCGTGGAGAAAAGTCGACATCTTCGAAAACATCCCCTTCCCCTTCACCCATCCTTTCCTTACCACACTGATTTAGGGAAATAAACATCTGTTGAATCACCCCCTTTTCTGCTATTTGGCCTGTATTGCATGGTGTCAGGAGAACTGGGCGCGGAAAGAACACACAAAAAGGTTTAATTAAGGCAATTAGCGGAAGTGAGAGAGTTGAAAGTGGAACCACCAAAGAAAAGGCCTCCTGGCCTGACCTTTTTTTTTTTTTTTTTTTTAAATGACAGGATCTTTGCTTCTTCCAAGGTTCCAATATTTGTTTGTCACGCATGGCAATGGCGTCTTGAGTTGTAAGCCTGCCGGACCTGCCCCGTCTGTCTGTTTACTAACTGCCTATTACTTTCTCCTTTTAAGGCTCATGGGATCATTGTCTTTCTTCTGTCTCTGTCTCTGTCTCTTTGTCCTTATCTTATTTGTTTGAGATACGTCTGTAGCCAGATTTAATAATATTTTCTGATCCTCAAAAGAGTTCACTGACTTGAAGATATAGTATTATTGTAAAAGATCAATATTATTTCAAAAGCTACGTATCTTTCTTCACCGCGGCAGGGCTCCGATTGTTAGCCTTGCCCTTTCCTGTCAGAGGAAGGCCCTTGATATCCGAAATAATAATACCCAGAATCCAGATATTTATCACGAAAAATGCAAGGGATGAGAGATATAGCCCTGGAACAAAGGTTGAAACTCCAAGGAACTCAAGCTGGAAACCTTGATGAAGCCAGAGTGCCTAGTAGAGGTGACTAGTCAGTAATCCCTGCTTTACATGACGATATCTCGACATAAGAGTGTGTACTCACCTGTGCGCCTGCCCACAGAGCGGCAACAGTAATTCCGAAAAGCGGTTGTTTGATGAGAGAGGAATAGGGAAGATATAGCGGTAAAAACACAAGGTACCAGAGGAAATACTACATATGAATCAGCAACCACTTTGGAAATCCACATACCCGAGCCTACATCGTTGACGAAAAAGACACGGACATACCTGGCTTGTACAGACTTTGTTGAAGGTGACAAATGCAAATGTTTGGCACAACATGCTTCCAGCAAGTTCCCTCTTGGCCAACGCGAGCGGTATAAGGATAGCTGAAAGACCTAATTGAGGTAGAAAAGCGAGAGATTCAAAGTTATTCCCGGGAATGCCTTGGGAGATCTCAGATGAAGAAAGGTAGAGTAGCATATTGTAAGGGGAGAAGTTGTGGCGATGGTCGACGCGAGTGACATGGTGGAAGTAGGTATGTTGCAAGAAAGGAGCTCCGTAAAGCATATACATGGCTACATTCAGCCCTGCAAACACAACAAGGGAAGTCAAGCCAAGGATTATACGCTGAGGCATTAGAAGTCGACAGACGTAGTCGGTCAAATTGCTGAGAGTAAACCCTTTCGACCCGTTGAATGCGTCGTTTCCCTCGTCTTCCAAAAACCAGATAATGGACGGACCATATATGAAAGGGTATATTTTGAAATGTACGCCGAAACCCAAAAGGACGCCAGCTAGTATAGTTCGTTTCTCTAGAACGGCCCAGAGTAGCGCCATGATCGTAACGCATAGAAAACCCTCTGAGCTCCCTCGGGTGCTAATAGTAGCAACCATGGGATTCAGCAGCCAGATGCTTGAAAATTTAAGAGCCCGCTGCATATCCATTCGTTGATGGGAGCGGAGAACATGCAGAATCAGCCATCCCGCAATGATATCAGAGACAGCAAACAAAGCTTTGCCAAAGGAGAACCAGACTTGCTGGCCACCGAGGCCGGTCCATGTGGTCGGTAGAAGAATCCATGCAAGTAATGGCGTGTATCTGTAAGTTGCTCTATCATACGGCGACTGGCCTTCCGAGACAAATTTGGCGGCATCAGTGAAAACATAGTAGTCGATGTCAGTATATTTCATGGGTGAATGAGAGTCCTGATAGAGGCCGTAAAACAAGAGAACAACCCGGAGTAATATCGCGGCCCCGAACACGAGATAAGGAGAACTAAAAAAACACGCCATTATGGAGCGTTTGGGGTGGTAGAAAATCCTTCTTTGGCTGTCCTGGGTCCAGGATTATGCAGCTGTGGATTTCGTCTAAATGGTATGGCCTGCTGCTTTTGTGGAAAACATGAACATCTGGCCCCTTTTGGCCAATTCGGGAGCCGACCAAGCAACGGGCCAACTGCTGGGTCCGAACGAATGTCTGTTGCTGAGCTATAACGAAGGCAAAGAAGAAAAGCCACGGCCCCTTTTGATACCGCGAGATATCATCAAGCAGGCCGAAAGCGAAGTCGACGTGTAGATTGCTGGGTTGTTGTTGACCCCGGATAAAACTTCCGCGGCTATGGCGGGGCGCTAGGACATTCTGCAAGGACGGTAGCATTTTATTGGATAAACCTTATTACTAAAATTTAATTCATTATAATTTTAGCGGCTGTTCCTTACTAATACTGCTTATCCTTATCGCGAGCTTTGACTTGCTGATAAACATCGAGTTGAGGCAAGATAAAAGAGACAAAGCTGGAGGGACAGAAGGACTTAGCTGACACTTAGCAATTACATGGCTGGCAACAAGCGAGCGTGGAACGGCAACGTTATAGCAAGCCATTCAGACATAGAAAATATGGATACCTCACCTGACGTATCTTCTATCCAGTCTATCTTTACTGAGTTCCGCAATGAGCTTGATGAGCATCATGATAGAAGGGAACGTGTTGTGAAAGCATCCAGAGATATCACAGCTTTAAGCAAGAAGATGTGAGTCTATAGAAACTGTCTCTGAGCTATAGTGCACCCTTTCACACTATTGTTTACTATCTTACAACCAATGCTAATGATCGCCTTTTAGAATATTTTCCTTGCAAAGGTAGCGTCTCTCTACTGCTCTCGGCACCCATAGACTCCACTGATCACCTTTTCCACCTTAGAGTTCGCACTGTGAATGCACCAATCCCTCCCAAAATTGCAAAGGAAACGGACGACCGTATAAAACAAATACAAGAGCTCTTCAAGTCCATTGAAGCAGATGTGTCTGGCGCCAACGCGTTCAGGTACCATCAAATCACATGGGGAATCCAAGAGTACATCGAAGCCATATCATTCTACCGGTACCTCGAGAAGAAACAACTCATCACCTTGGAAGAGGTTTTACAGACACTACCAGCTGGTATTAAAGTCACAGAAGCGGACTTTGTGCTTGGACTTTACGATTTGACTGGTGAAATGATGCGATTCGCTATCACTACGATGGCTACTGGCCGAACAGCAAGTATAAAGGAAGAAGATAAGACCCAGCAGTCTGAGGGCCCCATGGGTGGAGATGCTGTGCTTTCCGACCTACGTCAGCTCCGGGCAATGTTTGAACAACTCAATGTCCCTCGTGGATTGAATGGATGGAAGGAAGTAGACAAGAAGACAGAGGTTATGCAAGCCAGTGTCGAAAAGGTGGAGCGAGCAGTGTATGGGCTGTTAATACGAGGAACAGAGCGGCCTTCCGGGTGGGTGCTGGACTTGAGCAGCGCTGCTGCGGTTGAGTCGCAATGAGGATTTACTCTCGCATGAAAGCGGAAAGATACATGGTAGTAAGACGGTTATGGAGGCGCTCGGAACTATGGTGTAACATACAAGGGAAGGCTATGCTCCAAGAGTGCTAGCTTGTACTGCGATATTCCTTAATGAGTTTGAACATGGAGAAGTTCAATTTCTTCCATAATTTATCTCGATCGCATGCTAACTACTATCACCATGGCCATGCTTAAGTTAGGACGTGTCTGCCGGAATGGCATTCGCAGAAATGGTAACAAGAAACAGCTAGGCAATTTAATGACCCGTCCGATTCTGAAGCTCTTCATTTCACTCCACAGAGCACATAGACATTAGCACCGATGGCCATCAGAGTGAATGAGCACATGCTTAACACAAGATTGAATAACAGAGCCAGCAGACGTAGGATATTGCATCAGGGGGTCAAACACAATAGCATAGCTTGAGAGGGCTTAATCCTTAATAGGGTTCTCCTCCTCAGTTAGGACCCCAGCCTTAACCAATTCTTCAGGTGTTGGTCGGTGTAGGATCTTTTGCTCAAGCGAGTCAGCACGCATGTGCTTTTCGAGTTCGCGGGCAGGGCCTTGGAGAGCCGGAGCAGCATTGGAAGCAGGAAGGATGTTTCCTATTAGATTGAACAGCGGATGAGGTTGGCATTTTTCAACACACGAACCATATGCATCATCACAATCCACCCCAAGGGGAAAGAAGAAAATGGAAAGAAAAAGGAGGTATTGATGACCAAAAAATTAAAAAGGCCACATACGTTCAACGAGAGTATCACGGTCAGCTCTCTTCTCCAGGCCTCTTTTCAGCGAATCGGCGGCCTGCTGGCGTGCGAGTTCCTGCTGGGCTGCTTGGAGAGAGCTGTATTCAACGTCAAAACATGAGCTTCTTTTTCGCGCTTCTTCGTGTATCTCTCTCATGAAGTTGGGAAAGTAGGATAGTAGGTCCTCAATGCAGGCACATACGGAGCTACTTTGGTATCAAGTAGTATATGTCTATTCTTAAGGTCTTGTGCATCCGGGCGGCACTGGAGGGACTTCGCCAACGAGTCACGGCGTTCGCTGATAGGGGAGGTGGGAACCTCAACTGTCGAGTTTGTAGGAGCGTCAGACATGGCGGAAAACTCGGTGGTATCTGTCTTTTGAACGAGCGGGGTGTGCTAAACTATCGATGTAGCTATATGTGACTTGTAGGTTGTGAGGAGACGTGTGTAGGGGATGTTAGCTGCGAGGAGGAGTTCAAAGTTGGCAGGACGCCGTTCGGTTGCCTGGCGGAGAGGAGGAAGAAAGTGACGTTGGCCCTGGTACCCTCGCCGCGAAGACCAGCCACGGGGCGGCTCAAGATACCTAGCGTCAGGTATCTTCTCTAGCAAATATGTACGGCCAGGTACTTCTGACCGTTGTACCTCGAAGCTGTGACCGTTGGCCAAACACACGACGTCGACTCGTGGCGAGGTCACGCCCCCGCTTGGGTCACCTGACCAATGGTTGGCCGAGCAACAGCAATAACACTAAAAGTGACTTCTATCAAGCCGACCCCAATATCCAAGACAGATGTGTATTATTCGACAGGTACCTCGAGAGATTGAACGGTACTTTTGACCGTCTCCGCTTACAGGCAATATATAGATAAATGTCCGGATTGGTATCTCATTCCCTCTTTCTCCAGATTTGAGATTTTTGAACGGGAATGCCCCGCAAGTGTTTTCCCCTAGCCTATTATACTAGACCTTATCCTGTTGGGCTGGCATCAATACTTTTTTTATTTCTCTTGTCATATCGCTTCTGAATTCTACCTTCTTTTTCCTAAAGGGTAATGGATTAGGCTTTAAGTCCAGATGCGAGCGGCAAAGCTGTGAATGGACCGTACAGTAGAGATATGGACCAACCAAAACCCTCCATTTCGCTGATTACCTATATTTCATTCATAGGCTGCGCGATATTCACAGTAATGTGTGTATCGACAAGTACTTGTTGCATCTTCCTGCATAACCCCCTACCCGTCTGCTGGGGTGCCTGTGACATGAACCAATTGGTCGATGTAAAAGCACTGCTGCCTAGAATACGCTGCAAAGCCTGCAGCAACGGATAGGTATAATGACTCACGGAATTTCATCTTTCCACAATATTTATACCCCCGGGAATGTGATTTGACCCCTTATTCTCTCTCGCATTCCATACTATCAGGATTTTACATTTAGACGAACGACAGAATGCATCAGCTTCGGTTAAATGATGCTGCCATTTCTTTGCACCGGGTGCTGTCGGCACACGGTGTGAAGTTTGGGATATTTGGTGGATACGCGGTGGCAGCCCTGGGAGGGTCATGAGAAAGTAAAGACGTCGACTGTCTTGCTTGTGTGAATAAAGATCAAATTCTGAATATATTAGACGGCAAATCGGGGTTTGTTGCGGTTCCCCAATCCAGACGGGATTATGTAGCTTTCCTCTGGTCTGATAAGCCAAACCGAGAGAGAGCGGTTCTCATCGAAATCTTTTGCGAGGGCTTTCCTGGTAAGCCTCCCCGTGATATCACTCGTCACTCGTATAAGTGTCCTTTCCAAATCCGTATTAATTTACTTTGATAGGCGCAACTTTCAATATGTCAAATGTGGTACCAAATGTTACCCAGATAGCTGGTGAAACCCAAGGATCGGGCGCTACTTCATTTTTGGACCCAGTTTACCTGTTCAAAGGGAAACTCAGAGCTGCTGCAACCCGCAGTAAGTTCCATGACTCTGCCGACCTACGATGGCTGGAAACATACGCTTTGTCGACACTTCAAGCGAATAAGTCTCAGTTCAGCAGCCTCTATGTAGGGCTTGCTTTGAAACGCTACCCCGAGCTTCACCACTGCTTCGAGCGTATTGGTTTGGATATTGATGCTGCCACTAACGCTGCAGCTGCTTACGATTTGCACCACCTACCACCACCGCAACCAGGTGACGTCCAGAATGGCTTGCTTGCTACCGGAAACACATAAAATTAACATCGTGAGAACTTAGTTATCCTGCTTTATAAGAGAGATTAGCTGTTTTCTAAGAGATTGAGTTGTGTTTCGGGACCTTTTTTTCTTTACACAGCGGAAAAATATTTAAGAAAAAAAAAAAAAAAAAAAAATCAGCTAGTAATTAAAGTAGCCAACACATAGGATAAATGATCTTCGTCTTGAGTGACAAGTACCGCAAACTTCAGACCTCGATGACCTTTCCTATATCAAAGATATTGTGCTTGCCTTTGCTATGGTCCTTTAAACCAAAATATTTTGCCATGATACCTCCTGAGCTTTTAGGACGTAGGCTGCTCTGTCCCGGAAGTACGTAGCCTCGCTGGTTGCTCACAAGCCTTACCTGCCCGCGGATAGATTCTGAAGAATGATGGGTGTGACCATATATCCAACAATGCACATGATCAAGACACGACTTCTGCGAAGTATCCAAAAGATCTGTCCCAAAAGCAGAACTCCATGGATTTCCCTCATCTGAGGGTTTAGATGTTCCCCTGGTTGAAGGAGCATGGTGTGTAATGACAACAATCTTTCGCTTCGGCCCAGGCCCTGTATTTCTCAGTGAGCTGATCTCCTCCACCAACCACTTCAAATCTGCAGCATGCTCTGAGTTGTGATTGGCAACAGTCCACTCCTGGATACGGCGGAAGTCGTTAATTTTGTGGGCAACAATCTGCTCCGACTCAGGTGGTACGTGTGAATGCAGAGTACAACCCAGAATAGTGATATTATCGATATCAGCCCTTTTCCGATTCAATATGATCAATCTGCCGTTCATATGCGGTTCTTCTTGGAGTTGGTCCGCTAGACGCAGACCTTCCCGGCGAGAGACTCCAAAAAATTCATGGTTACCCAAGACAAGATAGACGGCCTTGAAGTTCTCGCATTGGGTGCATAAAAACTCGCGATAAGCGTTATAATCTGCAAGACGGCCAATATCGCCTGCCAGGATCAGCCGGGGAGCTCGTGGTTCAATATGGAAGTCTGAATATTGTTGACCGACTTCGAGGTGCAAGTCTGACATTACTTGAAACGCAGTGGAGTTTCGAGGCTGCCATGGTAGAGTAAGCTTGGAGAGAGTCATCGGGATAGATTCGTCACGTCCTCTGGGATATCAAAATGGCTGCGGGCAACAATAGACGACAATTATATTACTCCACACCCTGAGTTTAGTAGTTAGGGAAGCAAAGAAGTCAGGAATACGAACCCATAGCTGGGGGCACTGTAATTATTTGTTAGAAAGAGACGTTGAGTATTATTTCGTTAGCTATTGTCTCGTTAGAGGTTGAAGTGAGACCCCCAAACCAATAATAGCCATTAACTTTCTAACTAGTTAGTTATTTAACTAGTTATAAGCTTGGCAGGCAGCAGCTGGCTGGGGCCTGAGTTGAGCCTCCACCACCTTCGGCTCCTTTCCAACTGTTCTACCACCTATCTACTCTTGACCGCACGCACCGGGATTTACAACCTTCACTGACACGGACCGGGATTTTGAACCCAGCGACAAATCTAACTCGATACTGGCCCTTGTACTTTGCTAAAATGGAGTTTTCTGTCATGCAGTTGTTACTTGAACTGCTACAAAGGGCAGGAATATCGGTCTGCATTGTTGGTGAGCTTGCTCTTAACTACTACAACGCACCGCGTATTGTTCATGTAAGTAAGCCCTTTATATACCTGTGTGCTTCCTCTTTCTCTAATCCGGCGACAGGACCTTGAACTTTGTGTGCGTGAAGATGACCTTACGACTGCCGCGTCCATATTCCAGTCAACAGAATACTGGATATCGCCCCAGAAACCGAGTATAATATCTACACGGAATACAAGAAAGGGTTCCCGCGATTTCGCTCTCGCTCAGAACCAAAATTCTATATAGTTTTGTTTACCGATCGGTACTATCGTCTGAGTCCCCTGGAACAGAATATCATATCTCCAGAGGAGCACTATGAGTTTCAGGGAACATACAGCAAAGAACTCCTCGACACTGTACCGGCACATCAGATAGCAACCCTACCGCTACCACGATTTGCGCCACTATTTAGAGGACTCTGCACCATATACATCGAGACAAGGGAGGTTACAGCTGCAATAGCTGCAGAAATGCTTGTTGACGGAATGGATATTGATGAACACTGGTGTCATAGGCACTTCGATCCTTCTCACCAAGCAGTGCTTAACTTTGCATTGAATCTTGTCAGAGGGAAAGCTTCCAGAATTGCTGATTTCTCGATGAATGAAGTGACATGCTTCATCGTTGATAAGCATGAACTTCAAAATCTCAGAGGGGTACCGGGATTCTCACGATCTACGGTGGACTGAATATTGACTCTGCACTATTGACCGGACTCCCTAATGGGACACCTTGAGTCAAATATACCAATATGGAGGATATCAGGTTCTTGGTAAATATAAGGGCTAGAGTGTGTTGTTCAGACGATTCCCAAAGCCCTTATATTATAGTCATAAATATACCACCTACAATTCTTCAAGAACTTGACACTATCTACCCTGATAAAGGCCCAAAAATAACTGCCAACCTACAAGACAAAATCCTTATTATCGAAGCTATAATTACAAAAGCCCATGAAATCGCCGCTCGACGCCTGAAGGTGTATATTGATCAAGATATTATGAAGATGGGCCTAGAGTTTGAAGTTCTTAACTCGGGAGAAGCACGAACAACGAGTGGAACGTTTGTGAAAGAACCAGATACTCGTTTCACGCTACTAGATCACGACTGGCCGATCCTAGTGATAGAGGCTGGAGTATTCGAATCTGATACCAAATTAAAGATGGATGCTAGAGGATGGTTAGAGCCGCACGATCGGAAACAAAAGTTACTATAACGATAAAAATTAATCGGCATTCCCCCCAAATCGATTTTAAAAAATGGGAACACTCCACGTCAATACAAAAGAGAACCACTCGTTCCTCGCACCAGCCAGCAGAAGTGACAGAAACCGTCCACGCCAGATATTCCAATGGCATCGCCGATATTACAGGCGACATGACCATACCATTCGAAAAGATAGTCGGAAGGAAACCCCGCAATGCTAACGAGCACGACATTGTTATCACAAAAGCAACCTTTGAATCTGTGTCGAAGATGGTATGGTTGGGCCAGAAATTTCTGTAGCAATGAATGTCACTGTTGATTCCTACGTATTTTGTCATTATCCAATGTCTCGCACAACACTCGCTCTTCTGAACTATAAATCGATATAGTAATTTGACATGATTTAAGAGAACGTATTTATGTTACACCTCATGAAAATCATCTTTAATGTTATTTTGATGAGACTCTAAATGGATCAAGCCCAAAAATAATTAAATGAATGAACGGCTGCATTGATACTATCACTGCGAACAATACTACTCTTAGGAAAATCACTGGTTTATCGGCTCATCATTTGAGAATCAAGGGAACCATCGACAGGCTTCTCATAAAGCACATGTCTCACCACAAACCCCGTCCAACGCACGCCTAAATTCACACGAGTCTCCGCCACCCAACGATAAAGTGACAGTGGGAACGGGTAAAAGAATGAGGGTAAATCGTATCAACTGCGATACTGGTGTAGGTGTACGCCCACCTCCAATCTCTGGGCTTGCTTCCAAAAACTATTATTTTTCGATCAAGAAAATACCCTTCGAAAATCATGACATGAGTTTCGAAGAATGAAAAACAGTGCATGTCGGGGTTCGCTCAGTCACCACAGCAGATCCGCCACTCTTGAGATGAAGACAGCCCAGACTTAGGAAATCTCGATCCGAGGCGAACAGAGGACCAGAAGATAACTTTTCGTTCAAGGAATGAGATGAGTTAGAACCTCAACCCATTGCAATCAGCCGGTATATCGACATGGACGATTGTAAAAAGCCTTTCGAAAGACGTGCGCATTCCTGCAGGTTTCATCCTTCCATATTTAACCATATTCCTCGGGTGAAGAAAGGTTGGCGGGTTCTGAGAAAGAAAAGCGTGATACCAGCTCCCAGCATCTAGATATCAATATAGAAGCAAACGGGAGCATGGCGTCTTGTTCAAGGAACCCAGAGCTTTCCACGCCCACGTGCGGCTCCCCTAAAACCTCCACCGCGAGGTCCACCACGGCGATTTCCGTTTCCTCGGGGGTTCGGATTGGATGAGCTGCGGTTTGCTGGCGTTGGAGACGGATTGCCATTGGGGGACGTGTTTTGCTTGGTCATTCCGATGCTACGGCTAAACGAGTCCGGGTCAATTGGAGCCGAGGGTACCTCCAGCGGAGTAGTTTCAGCGGCAGTTGAAGGAGCTCTGGGCCGTCCAGCACTAGTGGAATTGTTGTTAGCCACTTTATTGCCGCGTCCTGGTGTATTCTTGACGGGAGTCCGCGTTGGTGTCTGCTGTCCAGCTTTTCCTTGCTTTCGTGGCACGAAAACTAGAACATCCTCATCACTCTCATCCTCGTACGATAGCAAAGGCTTTGCTTCGGTCAGATTTTGATTCGGATTCTCCTTCTGGTTCTTTTCCATATATTTGCAATGATTTTTGAATTCCTTTTCCTCGTAGATGATGGACGTGCGGAGTTGCGCTATATTCTTCACAATAATACCGAACTTCTGGGCCCAAACCTGGGTCTCTCTGTCATTTGTGACGAGGATGCAGCTAGATTGGGGGGCTGATATAGCAGGGAGGGCATGCAGCCGCCATAGGACAGCGTTCAAGAGTTGTTTCAAGACGTTGGGGACGGCAGGAGCAACGTATTTTACGCTAGTACTAGAATCCTCATTATTGATAGCTGTTTCACCGTTAACTGCATCATTTTCCAGTTGACGGGATGAGCACTCAGGGCTCGCACGAGAACCACCAGACGTAGGTGATGCAGGGCCGCTAGAAGTCCCCGCAGAGGCAGCAGAAGTGGAGCATGGTTCTTTGTCCTTTTTGAAGTTCAACTTGCTCAGAAGCATCTGCGACATGTCGTTTATTTCACGGGCGCTGGGAGCATTGGGCTGGGTGTCTCCTGCCGGGGATGTCTCTTCCTTGAGCGTATATTCAACGGTGTCATGGGCGGGAGTAGCAGGGGCTTCTTCTTTGAATTCAGGAAGAATGTATTTCTCGGCATCTCCCCAGCTTGAAAATTGTTCCATAGGCCCTTGAAGAGTTACCTTCTCAGCTGAAATGTTATGTTTCCCGGACGTAACACGATCGAGGAAGCGGACGGCCTCGCGCGCATTGATACCACTCTGGGAGCCACCTTTCTTTAGAATATGAAGACGCTCAAGGGCTATGTAGTGTTAGTGAGAAGAATTTAAAGCAACCAAGACGATGGTCGCCGAGCTGCAGCACATACTGTATAACGGCACGATGAGGGCAATAGCATCCTGCGACGTCCACTTCTTGATTTCTCCGAGGTTGGTGGTAAGACAGGTTTCATCAACCACACAGTGGAACACCTTTCGGCCAACAGACATGATGGCTGTAAAGGCGAATCTCTATGAGTTAGAGTTCCCGATAGGTTGCCGGAGGTGATGATTGCTTGACTAGGGGTTGTTAAACGAGGACCATGCGGAGAGGTAAAGTGGAGGCTATACCGATGGATTGTAAGGCGATTTTTATCTCTGCGAATGATTCAAGCACATTAGTGCCAGTTATAAGGTCGATGTTAAATGGTCTAATGAGTGATAGAGGCGAGGTCAGTAACCCATGTTGCACAATATATATATGGCTGAGCAGAACGCAGCGCTTTGACGGGGACTTTCCATCAACTTACAGGAATAGTTGAGGACAGGGTAGAGAGCGAATTCAAGCATCTTTAACCAGCTAGGCATATATGCAGCGCTGGACGAAGCTGCGGCTTTCTGTGAATGCGACAAAAGACTGCTTCCACCGTTGATGAAGAACACAGCCTGGAGCGAGAAATGATTCAACATGAAGTCGAGAACTTGCGAAAAGATATTGAGGGGACAGCATGACTAAGCGGTCCTTTCCGCTTGCTAATATTAAAAATAACGGGGGCAAAATGTAAATTAAGGCGAGAAAAGTGAAATACGTAATAGATACAAAGCGAGGAGACACAATCGCTTTATCATCAAAGTTGTCATAAGACCTTTGGGGTACTGAGCTCATGTATTTCCTTTCAGATGCGCAACGTAAATCTGGCAAACTGCCTCCTAATTCAAGAAAAGAGGGGGGATAAATTGTGACAGATTTTTGGTCAGGCGTACCACCAGCCAATTCGAATTGTTAGATCTTCCGGATGAGGCCGCTCTCTTCTGTCACTCTCGACGCCCACTCACTAGATGACGTTAGATCAAGGCAGGGGTGCGCAGTAAGGGGGGACAAGTCAACTTACGTCCAACTTCCGTCATACACTCGTCTGTTTTCCTGGGGAATGTAATTCGCCCGTTCCAATGCAAGATCAATAACGGCTGCCGTAACTCCAGACCCACAAGTGGTGATTACCGGCCGATTTCGATCAACTCCCTTTGACTCGAACAATTGCCGTAACTCGTCAGGAGAGCGCAGAGTTTTCGTCTCTGGGTCAAGGTATTCTCCAAGTGGTATACACTGTGATCCCGGCATATGACCTGAGGAAAGCCCAGCTCTGGGCTCCTTGTCTGTTCCCGCCCATCGACCAGCAGGCCGGGCGTCTAAGATCTGGACCGCATCGGAACCTTCTTTTCCGTAATCTTGCCCCATCTCCTTCATCTCTTCAAAGAGGACCACTCTGTTCGGATGGTATTCGTCCACTACGTAGTCTGATGGCTCGTTGGGAGTCACTTCGCCTTCCTCGACAGGGTACCCTTCCCTAACCCACATTCTGAAATTGTTCAAAACATGCACATTTGGGTGTCCAAATACTCTGAGGGTCCATCCAACACGAGGAGCACTGAGTATCCCTTGTTCTTCCGTATCGTATACTACCACTCGATCATCACGACGAATTCCCATTGATTGCATGGCTTCAGCAAATTTCTCCTTTGACGGAAGCATATGAGGATAAGGGGAACTGGTATCTTTCACAACATCAATGTCGAAAAAGCGTGCATTAGGGATTCTTCTCTTCTTAAATGTCATGAGCCCGGTGCGGCCCTCTGGATCATTCGGCATGAACCAAGAGGCACATAGTGGAATAACTCGAGGGGAAGAAGATATTTTTGTTGGCACATTCTCCTTTAAGGCCTCATGGAGCTCCTTTGGCGTAACTACATAGGACTGGAGCGACATACCCCGTTGCTGAGAGGTATTCGCTGCTAATGTAGACCTAGAGAAGGAGGCACGCTGTGAGAAACGAGCGAGCCGAAGGATCGTGGTAGTCATTTCTAAGTAGCCTGTCGGGGAACTCCTTAGGTATTGCTGTGCTCTTACATAACGATGGTCCTGAGAAGGTGTTCTTTTGCGAATTAGTACTGTTCAATCCGGCGATGATGTAGTAGTTCGATCTGAAATCCAAGTCTGATGCGGGTCGTGGAGATAAAGTTGGCTGGGCAACTGGGCCAGTCACGGGACAACTCTAAATCAGAAAAATATGGCCCTGACATGGCATAACACGGACAACTTTACTTCTTCCATGACATGTTCTTCGTTCCACGATACGCCTTACGTCAGACGGGCTGCAGTGGAAGATGTGACAGGGCCAGAAAGAGTTTGAGGCTTTCATGGAATAATCCGCTAATACGGGTGAGGGAGTTCAACCGCCAGAACTAAGATTGCAACCTTATCAGAATCAACCACCCTGGTCTACCCTGTCAACTCGTCAGTCTTTGACTAGCCCACAAATTTCGCAGCAATGAAAGTATCTATAAAGCAATGGAATGCTGTGGCTACATGGCGCTGGGACATGCCGGAAGATGATGTCTGTGGCATATGTCGAGTCCAGTTTGATGGCACTTGTCCTACATGCAAATATCCTGGAGACGAATGCACGCTACGTGAGTTTAAACGTTTGGCCTCCTATAATGAAGATTCTAACGTAGATTATAGTAATCGGCAAATGTGGGCACTCTTTCCATATGGTGAGATCCGAATTGAACCTGCATTAGCACTGGCTATTTTTAACTTATTGACTAGCATTGCCTCCTAACATGGATTCAACAAGATTCGGCCAAGGGTCTATGCCCTATGTGTCGGCAGAGTAGGTTATACATTACTTCTCATCCAAGATACAGTGACTGACAAGGTTGCTCTAGAATTTGAATGGAAGCAAAATGAATAGTGTTCAGGTAACTACGAGGAGTTGGGCGTATAACTAGCTTACGGGATTCAAACAGGCGGGATACCCTTTTTCTTGCTATTCGTCACATATTTATATAAAATAGATTATTATTAGTAGTATTTCTGCTTCTATAGAGTGTCTATTCAACTCCTCCACTCAACGATGATATTTTCCTATTCATCCACCCTTGTCACGTGGCTGATTTTCTCGATTAGGTAATTTCAAGCCATCCAACCCCAGCTCTTACGTCTCACTCCCACGGTTAATAAACAGAAATAAAAGAGACCACGAATAGGATAAGCGATGTAGCTCTTGAAGCGCAAAATGTCTTTTCCTGAGGATGCCGTTTCACCTACGACGTTACCCCCTAGAGTTGCCGGTTTATCCCTCTCTCCTACAGAACTTGATACCAGCGGCCAACCACCCCCCAGAAGCAGCCATGGGATGGTACAAGATGAGGCAGTTGAAGACGACAGTGGACATGTCTCCCAAAATGAAGCAGTTGAAGATATCTCTGCACTAACTCATCCTCCATTGAAGCCCCTTTTTACGGTTATAGGGGATACAACTTCGTCAGAATACTTCCACCCAACAGTGCACTACATATTTTCTGATGATGATACAAGCCTCATAACCGAAGCAGCTCTTCGATCTCTAGAGTCGAATAACCAAAGAAAAACATCATGGAGCACAGACTCCATCTCCCAGAAAGAAAAGAAGAAAGGAAAATCCGTCCCGAAAACTAAAGCCGCATCGGAACAATTCATCATTCTGGACATGGAACCCACATATACAAATTATACCAGGGCTGCTGGCAGTGCAGCAAAAACCACTGATGCCCAAGAAACATCCGTCCACCCTAAACCTGCTCCTCAAGTCTTTCAAGACTTCAAGGTAACATCCGCTCATAGCTTATCGCCTTCCTGGCAAGTGATAAATACATCGCTATCTCCGGCTCCGAATTTTGATTCGACTTCCAACAATCCTGCTTCGACAGATCGCGATAGTAACACGGTACTTATGATTGAAGGAACTTCTGGGTTCGCTTCTGACAGTACTACCGTACGACAGCAGGCTCAGCAGACGCAAACTCTGGAAGAAATGATGGATCAGTTTGCCAAACGTATGGAGGAGTTGAAGAAGGTCGTCGAAGCAAGTGGAGAACACTCGTTTTCCCAGTTGGTAACACATGCAGAAAACCAAGAAGGTTATGCTCAACCGGAAGAACAGGATCAAAGCTGAAATCTGGATTTTACTTCAAGCAAACCTTCGATTGTCTACCGTTCAATTACCATTGGAGCATCGTTGATGTGATCATATTGGATCTTACTTTATATGGGTCATCTTGGGAATTACATTGCTTTGGGATGATGAAATTTGCCCGAGGACTTTTTCCGAGTATATTGGAATATCATGTATGAATACGCTTGCAGATTTTCAACTTATGAGAAGAATTCTTTATTCCAAAACCAATTAAAGTGCCCGCCACTTATAACGTTATGTATATATTAGCCCTATGTCCCGAATAGGGCTATCCATGTACAAGTTAGGTACGGCTATCCCTAATACGCCTTGCCGTCAAAGCCCCGCCGGGCCGTCCATCTAACTCCTAAAAAAGCATTCGATATGTAGTCAACTCACCCTCTAAAACTAAACAGAAAAAAAAAAAATCGCTTTCTAGTATAAAAGGCGTAAACTCAATGGTGTGGGCCACTCCTCACTCTTCTTGCATTGATCCTTGATCCTGCGTTGAGAGTAGAGATGGGAGTATTTTCTCGCCCACCTCCGACGCCATTTGTTGTTCCCCTGGCATTTCGACGTGTCATCCGTTTCGTTGGAATCTTCGTCTCGCCAGTTAAATTTGATGCAGCGGCGACGGAAGACGAAAGGTGCCGCTTTAGAGGCGGAGGCTCCGTTTCCTTACAACTTTCGACACTAGGTCCTGTTTCAGCAGTCGCCGGTTCGATGTTCGGTTTGTTCATCACATTGACATCAACTTCTCTCAGCTTCGACGGTGATAGTTGACCGGATTCCTCGAATGTGTCGACTTGCGGAGGCTTTTCATATTCAATATTATTATCTGAGTCATGATATACCATCGACTTCGTTGGTGATGTGGGAGGCTCATGCTGTAATGGCGGAGAGTCTAACGGTGTGCACGAAGGAGATGGTGAGGCTGATGGATCGCATGGAGACCCTAGGTTTCCAAGTATAGTGGAATGTGATTCCGTCCGCGGGAGTGTTGCTTCATATTTGTATGTCTTCTTCTCGGGGGTAGTTCCAGTTGGCACGTATTCTGCCATAGATGTTGCCTGGACCTCTGATTGAAGATCAGATAGTGGCTGTTTAACCTCGGATATAGCAGTTTTCACTAAGGCTCCAAGAGACTTATTTTCAGATAGCATCGCCAATTGGAAGGCTGCCTCCCGCTTCTCAAATCCATCCAATTGTTGAAGCTGCTGGTGATACCCACCTCTAACCCTTTGTCCCAGTTTGTTGGCGATATCATTGCTTGCTTCGCAGTGCAGATTGTTTTGAGACCTGGCTCTCCTGAAAAAATCATCAAGGGCTTCCATCTGAACAGCTATATCCTTCTTTTGTTCATCAACAATATGAACTGTTTGTTCATGAACTGTGTTTGTAGTTTCATGTATCGAAGTGTTTCGCGAAATGAAAAGCTAGGGCTATGTTAGTGAAAACAGAGAAGATAAGAGACTGGAAGGAGAAACTTACGTCTAGATGATCTTTCATCCTGGATTTCAATTCCGATTCTGATTTGAGCACTTTCTCAAGCAGTTCGTCCTCCTTTTTATCCCAATTATCCAAAGTTTCGAGGTATTTATCATGGGAGTGCTGAAGTGTTTTTCCTGATTTCTGTACTTCAGTCTTGATGCAATCGATTTTGCCTTTGAGGCGAGCTGCTTGTCGATCACTTGACTCATTTAAGAGGTTCTGGATCTGTGAAGCTAGCACAGAACGTTCCTCATCTGCTGCACGTCGTTCCTCTTCGAGAGTTAATTCCAATCTAGAAGCTGCCTTCTCGTTGGCCTTTTTAGCCTCCTCGTTAGCCTTCCGCAGCTGTGCACGAAGGTCATCAATTTCTTCTTTTTGAGAGTGAAGATGGTCCACAATTGACTTGAACAAATCGGTAAAATCGACGGTTAATAGGTTATACATGGAGCGTAACTAGTTTGGTTAGCCATTACTTCTGTTTCTTATGGTGTGCAAAACCTACCTCGGAATCGAATTGCTGAAGTTCCTGTATCACTTCCCCAGAGATCCTCGCCGCTGCAGAAGAAAGTCCATTCAATCCTTCCCCAACTTTACCTTGCACATCTTCCCTCAATGTCTTTATTTCCTCCAGAACTTCATTCATAGTATCTCGATTCTTGTAATTTTGACTTCTGGAGTCTTCTTCAAATTTTGAAAGAGAGGTCTCTGTTTCCGTAAAAAGTGCACGACTCTTTTTCAGGGCCTCTAGTTCACCTCTTACAAAGGCCTCCACCCGAGCAGTAAGCCCTTTAATGAGAGTCGAATGCTGGGAATGAAGTAGCGTCATCCTGCCATCAACTGATTTTGTGACGTCCAGAACCCTGGCAGTGCAATCTTCCCAGGCATTCTTATTCTGTTTGTGCAGAACTGACCGCCTCCTAAGCTTAGAATGCAACCCAGAAACGTCTGTTACAGATTGGTCAATAACCGAGAGTAGGTTCGAGCCGATATCATGGAGTTTCCGTTCGGTCACTTGATGCGCCCGGCGCAACAATGTCTCTTCTTCTAGGTCCTTCTGAGCCTTACTCAAAATCAATTCGGTCTGTTCTAGAAGAGATTTTGTCTGGTCTAACGTTGACCGTGTTGACTCATTCTTCTTTTTCATCTCGTTGAAGTTGCTAGTCAAAGCGAGGTATTCTTGAACTTTAGTTTTCAAGTTGATCTCCATTGTCTCGATCTTCGCCCGTTGTTCTTCACTAAGAATGCGGCGAGATTCGCTTTCCACAGTCATTTCCTCGTAGTTTTCAGCCGAAAGGTAAACCCCATTTCTCTGTCTCGTCGCTATTAGATCACTTCGCAATTTCTCAATCTCAGTTGTGAATTCTCGCAGTAGCGCTTTTTTGGAAATTGAGGAATTGATCTGAGGCTTATTTCGAATATTCTTTGCCCGAAAAGCGTAGTCTAACGTAGACATGGTTTCTTCCAGGTTGCAGCGGGCAGAAGATATTGTTGCAATTATGCACGTTTTCGTACGGCCTCCCAGGGAGTCTTGAAGCAAACGTGTGAGTTTAGATTCTCTATATTGTGTAAGTAGACCGCTGACTAAATTGTATCCAGAAAGGTGAAAGAGAGCTTACCGATAGGGTATATGAGGGCTTTTGTCAACCAAAGCATTTATAACTCGTCCAAGTGTAAGCAAGCTCTTGTTTATCGACCCAGCTTCAGTAGCTCTCTTGTTTTCAGCGCCACTACGTCGAATGTCTTCACTCCCGGCAAGATCAACGAGATTTAGTTTTCCGCTGCATATATATTCCTCACCCTTGTCCGAAATCCGCTTGAGGAAGGTGGTAATGGTAAAAATACTATGACTTCGTGAACTGAGGTCATTGCACTTTGTTGAAGCGACCTGTCGCCGATGACTGCCCTCCTGGAGCAGTTTAATCCCGGCAGATGCAGAGTTGATATATGTTTCGCCCACTCCTTGGATCATGGTACCATTGTGGCCCTTCTTCATGCCTTCTTCGTATATTTTCAGCTTGACATTATCTTCGGACGAAAGAAGATCCCTGAGGTCCTCATTGTACAGTTCGATAAAGGAGCATTTGACAGAACTATCAACGCCTTCGATCTTTTGAAATAGAGCATGAAGAATGCGCGGTATTATACCAGCACTGTCCGATAGCAATCCAAGAGTCTCTGTCATATCGCCTGACATGGTATACGTTTTCCCGGTACCAGTTTGGCCATATGCGAATATGGTACAATTGTATCCGGAGAGCATCTAGATAGTGGGATTAGTAATTTAGTGCCACTGGTAAAGGTAAATGGCAAGTGTACCTCATTTAATATCGGGGTAACGACATCCTCGAATATTATAGCTTGATCGGCGGCTGGAGAAAAGACCTTATCGAATTGGTACTCTTTATTTCCCAGCGCATTGGGACCCATAGACACTTCCACAGTTGTCCCTTTCACTCCTTCAGTAGATATAACAACGCCGCTATTCTCCTTGATCTCCCTATCACTCCTGCCCCTGCAGCGGACAATGACCCGGATATTTGTGTCCCCAGGAACATTCTGTTCAAAATCACGCTCCTTTCGTTTGTTGCCAGCATTTTCAGTAGGGGAATTCAGAGCTCGTGTCGCACTGGGTGTCTGTGTCCGCGAGGATATTTTCGGGGTCTCTACTCGTTCAGGGGCAATAGAAGCTCGTGGTCTGGTTGAACCTCGCAATGCTGGCTTTTTCAGCTCCCGTGTGGGTTGAGGCCTGGTGCCCCCGGCCATCTCCAGAAAAACTGTACGTTATTAGCAATAATGAAGCAAAAAGCGCCCTTCATATGCGTCGCGAGGCTACCGTCTCCAGACGAACCAAAAAAAATCCTATCAAGAATAAACCCTGCAAAGATAAAAAAGATGCTGGTAGGTTCTCTCCTACAGAAACGCAGTTTTTAATCCAAAAAGGGAAAAAGTAAACAAACCAACGGTGGCCTGAGCTTTATGATTACATAATTTTCAATGACATGTGATAAGATCACGTGTCGCCTCTACGCCTCCAAGGTTCAGGCGTATGACCTCATTGAATGACCGTCAACGCTCCGCCCAAATATATCAAACCTTTCTACCCTCAGTTGCCGATGAGATAAATATTCCTAGCCTAGCATGCGTCTCGTGTTATCCGGACGAAACACTTATCGGTGCTGATGATTCTACTTGCGATACTTCACCATCATGGCTACCTCTCGAGATAGCCCCGCGCCTGTCTTGCCTGGCCGAGCCCTTGGATTCCTCAGTACGTTATTATCCAGTCACTGTGCTGTCTAAGCCCTAGCTGATGTACCTGTAGCTCTTGGGGCATCACTGCACCACGTCGTCACCCGTCTTAAGTCTCTTCCCGAGATATACAAGGCATTAGAACTAGTCTATGACATCGCCAAACCTCTCCAGGAGCCTGTCATACTGCAACTTCCAGAGAACGGTTTGCGACTTCGTTTTGACGGGCCTGACCAACGCCTGCGACTGATTGAAGTTTTGGATTTCAGCAAGATCCCCCTCGTCTACAAAACCCATGAGGTAGTAAAGCCATCAAAATCACCTTCTGATCCACCAGGATTTGGTCCTGGGTTTCGTCACATATACAACAGATTGTTTGGACCAACTTATCCCGGAGAGTACACCCCTCCTGTTGCGGGAGAAACCCATGGGACCTATGTCTTATCATACCCTGGAGTTGCATTCTCATTCTCTCTACTCCATAGCGCATGGACAGAAAAGCAGGATTTTGTCTCACTGATGTCTTCCTCTGCTGCATCCGCTGCCTTGTCTATGGCTATATTTCAGGGATCATCATGGTCGGATGGGCAAAGCAACTTGTTTACCCGTCAACCCCAATATCCGCGATCGAGCGCACTAATGGGCAAGAACAAGGAGTCTGTTGCGGATGAGGTCGAACTTGTCAAAGTTCATGAGGGCGGGCATATCGAGCTTATCAGGCGATCAAGCAACCCCTTTTGGATCATTCTCGGTGAAACAACTCCTCAAGATCTTATCACAGAATTAGGGCCCCCAGATGCCATATATCGAAAAAGTGACAGCCGTATTCTAATCCACGGTGAAGGAGAGAAGAATGTAGCTGGAACGACTAATGGCGGAGGCAACTTACCTACTCCACCCACTGATCCCTCAGATATCGATCCACAATTTGATAGCGCCTTGACTGATGAATCGGAAGAGGATTCAGGCGCAGCAACAAATAATGAATCTGCATTACCTAGTGACTGTTTCTATAATTATTTCAGCCATGGCTTCGACATCTTAGTTGCCCCATCTACATCTGGTCGCCGCTCGCCAGGGTCACCCACAAGAGAATTATATGCGACGGGGGGTACACCAGAACTTGTCACATCGAAAATTATACTACATGGCAATGTCCCAGGCTCATACCCTTTCAACCGGCATAGGCGCTGCAGGTGGATGCTACCTTTTGGTTCCAACAAGGAGGCAATCACATCTGAAACACCATATGGAGAAATTTCCCCAATACTTAAGGAACGATGGCGAGGCAGTTATGCTAGCCCTGCAGAAGAAGCTTCCTTCCAGAGGGGTATGGTGCTCAATCGCGGCTGGGGTGAGACTCCGGGAAGTAGCATCGAATTTTTGGGCAGTTGGGAAGATAACCCATCCAATAAAAACAAAACAGATCATAACTCAGAAATACCTAGTTCATTGGGTAATACCGAACTGTACGGATTCCCGGGTCTACTTTTTGAAGTTCTCAAGAATGGCTCTGTCAATTGTTTGACTGTGTATTAACATGTTGCGATTTGTGAATTTCTTTCATACGGTACATATCTAGGTAAGGATTGGGCTGGGCAGGCGTTTGAATACTTTGCTTGCATGAGATATTTTAAGACAGATATCCCTCTTGATATATTTGAAGACATACAGAAATACTTACACCAAATATATTTCCATACTATTAAGTTTCTTGTGATATTGCAATGCCGTAATTTTACAAGAAGGTACGATATTGGTAATTAGTAACGCTCGTTTATTGGTTAGAGCTTAATCATACTGTATTAGCAAATACATACAACTTTTTTCTCCCATCGGCTTTTCAACACGAACAATTGAAACTCCAACAGCGAGAAGAAATGCAAACAAGAAGAGCATGCCGGAGCTGTCGCGATCCCTCGCGCGATCTTGGTCATCGACGCTAAAGCTTCCGAAATCCACATTCCCTCCTCGGATAGCTTTGGCTGACCAGTCGAAATATCTCAAACGATGCAGCGATGACCTCTACAGCTGGCAGCAACGCAACCGGCCTGCAACAGCTACTTTCACACTCCACGATGGGCCGCCATACGCTAACGGTGAACTACACATTGGACATGCGCTAAACAAGATATTGAAGGATATAATCTGTCGCGTGCAATTGGCAAGAGGAAAACGAGTTCATTATGTACCTGGCTGGGATTGTCATGGTCTCCCAATTGAGCTGAAGGCACTTCAAGGTCAAAAGGAATTGGGCGACTTGAGGTCGGCTGGGAGAGATGGAGCTGCGCAGATTCGGTCAGCTGCTCGACAACTTGCAGAAAAGACTGTCTCCCAGCAGATGGAGGGATTCCGGAACTGGGCAATCATGGGAGATTGGGAAAATGCATATACTACGATGAATAAAGACTTCGAACGTAGGCAATTGGCCGTATTTCTGGAAATGGTTGAAAAGGGGCTCATCTACCGGAGATACAAGCCGGTTTACTGGTCTCCCTCGTCTGGTACGGCGCTTGCTGAAGCTGAGTTAGAGTACAAGGAAGATCATATATCAACTGCGGCTCTGGTTAAGTTCGTTCTGGATAATCTACCATCTCAGATCCTGGAACACCCTTTGCTTGCGGGGAGTGATATTTCCGCTGTTATATGGACAACAACACCTTGGACGCTGCCTGCAAACGCGGCATTGGCGGTTAACCCTGATTTTGAATATACCATCGTGGATTCGACTCGCCATGGAAAACTCCTCGTGGCACAGTCTAGGCTGCAATACCTCCAAGAGCTACTTGAAGATGATTTCACTGTCGTTATACCGGCTATTATGGGCTCTGAATTGCTAAATTCGACCTACCGTTCCCACTTCAAAGGGCCCGAGTCTGAAAAACAACGGATCATAGCTGCAGACTTTGTGACAGCAGATGCCGGTTCCGGAATTGTTCATTGCGCTCCAGGCCACGGTATGGAGGATTACGAAGCTTGTCTCGCTCTCGGAATTCCAGCATATGCTCCTGTAGATGGGGAAGGCCGCTTTACCCAATCTGCTATGCCAACAAAGCCTGACCTTCTAACTGGCAAAGAAGTCCTAGGGGATGGAAACCATGCTGTCATCAAATACTTGTCGGAAACGGGAATTCTCATTCACAAGCATGATTACAAGCACAAATACCCCTATGATTGGCGTTCAAAGCTCCCTGTCATAATTCGTGCCACAGAACAATGGTTTGCAGATGTTGGTGATATTCGTGGCGAAGCCATTCAAGCTCTGCAATCTGTCCAATTTATCCCGCCAAGTGGGAAGTCGAGACTGGAGACTTTCGTCAGAAATAGAAGTGAATGGTGTATATCCCGCCAGAGAGCATGGGGAGTCCCTATACCGGCATTATACCACCGCACCACTGGAGAAGCTATACTCAGTAAAGAGAGTGTGTCTCATATCATGAAAATGATCGAAGAACGTGGTATAGATGCTTGGTGGACTGACGATGAGTTCGACCAGGCGTGGCTCCCCGCCTCGCTCCGTGATTCGAGCCCACCGCAATATAAACGCGGAACAGATACAATGGATGTATGGTTCGATAGTGGCACCAGCTGGGCTCAGCTTAAAGATGATTCCCCTGAAAATTCGCCAGCAGATGTATATCTTGAGGGAAGCGATCAACACCGTGGCTGGTTCCAATCCAGTTTGTTGACTTATATTTCCCATCAGCTTGCCGAAGGGAGTAAATCTTCGTTTAAGGCCCCTTTCAAGACCCTTATTACACATGGGTTTACTCTCGATCAGTATGGTCGTAAGATGAGCAAATCGATCGGGAATACCATACAGCCTGACGAAATCATGGGTGGTACACTTCTCCCTCCACTAAAGCCCAAAAAGATCAAAGGAAAAGGCCCAAAGCCAAATCCAGATGTTCCGGTATACGACGCCCTCGGTCCTGATGCCCTTCGACTATGGGCTGCTGGGAGTGACTACACGAAAGATGTGGTTATTGGTCAACAGGTACTCAAAGCAGTCAATATCAGTCTTCATAAATTTCGTGTCACTTTTAAGCTGCTTCTCGGTGCGCTTCAAGATTTCGACCCAAGGAATGAAGTTCCGTACGAGTCACTACATGCGATTGACAAGATTGCTTTGGTACAACTTCACAATCTCGTCAAGTCAAGCCAGGAAGCGGTCGACAAAATGGAGTTCTTCAAAGCTGTGACCGCAATGAACAAATGGGCCAACCTAGAATTCTCAGCATTCTATATCGAAGCCATCAAAGATCGGTTATATGCGGATTCAGAGTCTGGAATGAGTCGACGAGCTGCACAGACCACCTTGTTCCATATATACACGCACATTCAAAGCCTTCTTGGCCCAATAGTCCCTTTGCTGGTTGAAGAGACTTGGGAACACACCCCTGGAAACATTAAAGGATGTTTGAAACATCCGTTCCAGCGGACTATTAAATCGCCAGACAGCAAGTGGAAGAATAATCTTTTAGAAGATGAATATTCCGCTATGGTTGCCGCCAATTCTGCAATCAAGGCTATGCAGGAAACTGCTCGGTCTAAAAAGCAAATGGGGTCCTCTTTGCAATCATTTGTGCATCTTGTTCTACCCGAAGGGTTTGAAATATCAGAGCAGTTACAATCTGAGCTCCCCGATTTCTTTGTCGTATCCTCCGTCACTATAGGTTCAGAGTGTGATTCCGTTCTAAATGAGATTACACAGGCCGAATGGAGCTACAATTCTGAGTTCAAGCTACCAAAAGATCAAATCGGGAAAGCATGGGTGTATACGCCAACTCAGGCCAAATGCCTTCGTTGCTGGCGTTACGCAGTCCAGCCTACAGAAACCGGGTCAAAGGGCGAAGAGGACCTTTGCCATCGCTGTGAAGAGGTTGTGCATGAGATAGATCAACAGTGTGATACGGGTTCAAGCACTTCCAATTAAACCTCCCCTCACTATAGCCTTTTTTGAGCGTGTAACATAGATCATCTAGATCCTGCTATTTTTTCCCGTCCATCTTTGTGTATGTTATGTGTATTATAACTAACTTTGCAATGCCATGCTGATTTTATAGGTCGTAATCGGCCAGTTATACCATCTTACGCAGCCTCAAAAAAACAGGTAATGATATTGGGTCCAGTCGAATGATTTTAACGTCATAGGCTGCATGCGAGCTTGGATGTTAAAATAAATAATAACCTTGTTCCTTCGTTCGTCCTTGGCTAGAGATGCAGCTTACACAGAGTTCGTCGGCTGCAGAATCCCTGTCCGACGGTAACTACAAGCTATCTTGCGTTCCAGGCGTAGGCCCAACGAACTGCACGTCAGAAACGACAGGCCAGTGCTACCTGGATGACCTGGCAGCATCCTTCCTAATCTCCAAACTCTCCTCAAGGCGTCTTTCGAGCCCGATTGGACCACTCGTATGTGGCAAGGCATGAATGACGGCGATGAAGTCATCTCTTGTTTCTCGAACTCTCATTTTTACTTCCATGGAGGCAACTGCCTTGATTATCTGGTAACGCGGGGAAACCCATTTATATAGGGGTAGATGCTGCTTGTTGCTAATTATTGCATACTTCCCTATACTACATCCGTGCTTGCAGGTATAGTTGTCAGGAGCATACGGAAATTTCATACCACGAACCTGGCCGACGCACTACTTCACCTCAACTCTCAAAGAGATAACTAAACAACTATCAGATTAACGGTTGCTATATAAGACGCCATGCACACAATGGGGGATATCGGTGTTCCTCCTATCAGCCCTATCCCGGGTCGAAATCTGATCATGGAGGAATCATCAGGGGTTGGGCGACGATGCTTATGGTAAGCTCTATCTCCATAAAGGCAGATATCAAGATATTCTTTGTCTGACTTGTCTTTTAGGGTCGTTGCCATTCTGATGCTTATTTCATCCCTGGTTTTCTACGTTCTGGCTGGCAGAGTCCCTACAGTAAGGCTGCAATTGTATGGCGGCTAGAAAAGACATTTGCTAATACGTCCTCTAGCAAAAACGCCTGTTTCACAGCTTGGTTTCACTCGTTACTACTATATCATTCCTCTCATACTTTGCAATGGCTATGGGATACGGAGTATCGTATAAGCATTCTACCTACCACAAACACCACAAACACTCGCCGGATACTATCCAGGAGGCCTGCCGTGAGGTGTACTGGATTCGATACGTCAACTGGATGTTGACCGTGCCGCTGATTCTCACCTGTCTCTCGTTTTTGTCTGGGGTAAACGGGGCCAGCCTGTTGGTATCAATCTCTGGAGCTCTTATCATGTTTGTAGCTGCTCTCAGCAGCTCCTTCATGGACAAACACTATCAATGGGCCTGGTTCGTAATCTCTTGTTTGGGATACCTGACAATTGTGTACCAAACCGGCTTCCAAGGCCGTAGAGCCTCTCTCGCAAAAGATCAACAGGCCCGCAATTTCTATACTTCCATTGCAAGCTTCTCTCTGGCAGTGTTGCTCGTCTATCCAGTGTAAGTTCATACCTACTTTATCTTGAAATAATTTTTTAAAGATAACTAATGAGGCACGCAGCATTTGGGCTATCTCCAATAATGCTCGAAAGATGAGCATTGATGCAGAGATAATCGTTTTTGCTATCCTTGACATATTGCTTCAAGGTGTCTTTGGATATTGGCTTATCGCCTCTTATAACACAATAAGATCCATGTAAGCAGTTTATGCAGACACAAATACATGGGGGTTATGGTTGCTAATTTGGTTGTTTATCTAGCTCGGTCACCTTGGATGGTTTCTGGGCCAATGGCGTTAACAGCGAAGGCAATATCCGGGTAGGAGAAAATGAGAACGTATGATGTCCTGCAGGTGTGACAACAAAAACATCTTAAGGAGCCGGATGGTGCTATAGCCACTTATTTACTAAGATGATACCATCGAATTTCAGACCCCCAGTTTGTAGCCGGCAATCTTTCTGCTCACTTTATAATACCCTCCATCATTGTGGCAGTACAAAAGTTATGAACCAGGCCATTTTTGTTCATTGTTAATTCCAATTTGGGCTCTCGGCTGTCTGCTGCAATTTTAAATCAATTAATATCCTGTGTCTTCTCGATTTTTTACTATGATCGTGTACTTCAGAATATGGAATACCGCTCGATAGCAGTCATATCATATCAAACTATTTACCAGCGAACTAAACAGTTATCGGCGTAAGTCATCAAACTCCACACTCCCTCCTAATACTGTCATCAATTTAAAATATTTAGACCAGTCCAGTGATAATGTAAAAGAGAGTAAAGAGAAGAAGGAAGATCGTTGATATCAATCTAGGCCCTGTATGACGTCATCACGAGCAGGTATCATCACGTGACTACTTTAATTGGACTCCAGGGGCCAAGCTGGGACGGAGGAAGGACTTTGCTTGGCGAACCAGCTCACTTCTTGCTGGCTCTCGGGAAGCCTTTGACGCGGAATGCAGGACGACGGTTAAGGCCGTCGTCATTGTCCGAGAAGCACTCAGGTGCCTTCTCGATGGCTGCATTTTCTTTGCCGATACTTGCCTTTCGCCATTCGCTGACCTTCTCGTTGGCGAGCTTGGTCTCGTCAGCTTTGTCGACTGGATTCTTCCCTTTCTTGGGAATATCAACGAGTCTGGCCTGAGTTGGCCCCTTGTTCTTCCTCTTCGGAATATCGATGAGTTTAACCTCTCCAGGTTTGACATGTCGAACCTGCATGGCATATTCAGCCACGGTATTTGACCAGGATACGACGACTCGGTCTGAAATGAAGCGTGGGATAGCAAATCCAGCGTCGACGCAGTCATTCTTGAAGTTGATTACGCGGAGGCGATGTGGATTGAACCACATGAAGAATGGGTCGGCATCCACGACGAAGCCAGTGAGGGTTAGCTTAACAATTGGTAAACGGTCGAGCGTACATCCCATTGCCAGAGCTCTGATCTTTGCCTCTCCAATGGATTCTTTGTCTAGATATTCACCAACTCCAGCACGTCTGTGCAATTCTCCTTCACCGGACTCTCCACTTTGGTGTAGAAAGTGCAAGTTAGCATGATTATCGTTATTCGGGAGGAAGTTTGAATCCTTACTAGTATACCCCAGGCATCTCATCGGCAGTGCGGTAGGACCAATTCCCCTTGATAGATGGCCAATCAGCATTGAAAGTGCGTCGAATACAAGGCTCCAAGGCCATCTCAAGCTCGAGTTCTTCAATGGCAGGGTTAAGCCACACGGTCTGCCAAATGTACTTTTGATAAGACTGTGACATTCCAGTCAACTTGAGTTTTCGGAGGTTTCTGAAGTTGCAAAGTGAAACAAGCTCTTCGACTGGCATGATATCTGGGCGAAATGGGTTGTCGAAGGGACTGTTCTTCTTAGTTGGCCAGAACAAGTCCAACGCGAGAACTCCGCAGTTTAGGTCAAGAGCCTGCCATGCAGAACCTCCACGGAATGAGATCATGGGCTTGTCAAAGCCGTCCATGGAATCATCGTCTTCAAATGGCTCTTCGAGCGTGTCTTCGTATTCCTTCATATTGTTCTGTTTGCCTCCAAACGTGGAGCGTAAGAGCGTGATGTTGCTACTAAAAGATAGTCTAGAATCTGATCTGGCTGCGGTTCCCTTCTTCGCGGTATTTGATGGGCCGGTTTTGAAGAAACGGGATATTGATGCCAGAGACTCGGACTTGGTGAGGCCAAATGGAAGACAAGTGATATCACCAACACTGGATCTTCGTTTCTGGAAAGACGCCCCTGCTTTCGGGTGATTTGGGGGATGAAACGACGCGGAAGATGTGATCTTTCGATATCCTGGACCTGGTGGCTTCCTTGGGACTGGATAGGATTTTGTTAACTTGGCTCAAGGTCTTCAATGCTGGTAGAAGACAAATATGCTGAAAGGAAGGTAGAAAAAGGCTAAATATTCACTGGCTCACCTGCTATCACCTGTTTGTGATTGTTTTCATCACTGTCTTCATCCTGGATGATAGGACGACGGCATCCTCGGCAACACACCATGGTTACTAGCTGTGATATACCTTTTGATACCTTTGCGGTAGAAGCTCAGGCAGGCTACTATGACAGATATAGTATATTAACCTAGTTTGTTGATTGATATAGGCAAGAAAGAGGGCTTTTTGGATGGTGTGAGAGAAGTCTTATCAAACAAGCAATCCGTAGGGTTTACTTTTCTTGTGGTGTTTTTGAAAAAATATAAAGGAGACTGGTTTGTGTGCTATGAGAGCCGCTAAATGTGTTGTTATTATTGTTGCTGTTGTTACTAGCCTGAAAGACCTAGGTACATCTAGACAGGAAGGGATATGTACTTGCATGACAGTTTACCATCTTGAGTCAGACAGGGGCGAGCTAGAGTGCTCGAGATGAAGGATATAGGCAGTAACAACATCTTCAGGATACTAGCAGTATGTTTTTGGGGGCAGATTGAATATATATATGCTTCCTTGTATTCTCTATCCACCTCCCTAATGTACCTACAGCCTGTCACGTATCTGCTATCGATATCAAATAGACTACATTATCTCTCTTTCTTTATTCTCCGGAGTACAATCATGGGGCTTCTTCTCTCGAGACATGAAACCAAACTACAAGTGCCTGAGAGTCATGGCTGCAGATACGCTGGGTCGGCTCTCAGCCTGGATGCTCCGGTCTGTTGGAATTACTTCTTTGTCAGACATGCACTCTGACTATACCTGCGTGGCCCTATGGAGCTCAGCGTAATATTTTCTGGGTCGTCCTATGAAATCATGACGTAGATGCATGGTTTGCATTATCCTATCGATTTACTTACTCGCTATCGATGCGGTTCCATGACAACCGATACGTGCCTAGTGGTGGTGTCTCGTTCAAGATAGATCCAAAACTGGTATGAAATCCCTACGGATCAAGATGTAATATGACTTAGTATCCTAGGAAAGGCAATTGACGGAAAAGAACATAAATCTGTCGGATGGAAATCATTATTTCATTTAGCTCCTGACAAGCTGGGAAGGAATTTTATCCGCTAACTAAAATAGACAAAGGGAGAAAGAAAGAAAGTCCTATTTGTTCTTTTTTAGTATCTCTTTCCTTCCCGTAGAACATCACCAAACTCCTCGAGAGGGCTTCGGTTGAGCTTGGTCTCCTTCCACAGGTTAGGAGTCAAGTAACCGTATGAGTTACCGACAGCAACGAAGGTGGCCTTGAGAGTGTTCTCAAGGGTCTTGGTGGAGCCGGAGGAGGATGTGTAAATATCACCGACACCGGCCAACTGGAGGAATCGCTTAACAGCTGGGGAGGCAACGAGACCAGTACCACGTGGAGCAGGAATCAACTAGAGGGTTATCCAATTAGTCGAGAACGTCCTTTGCCGTTGTGTAAAGGATGAGATAGAAAAGACATACTCTGACGGAAACGGAACCGCACTTTCCGCTGGTCTTGGTTGGGAGAGAGTGAGGTTCACCAAGGTTTGAACCCCAGTAACCCCGACGGACTGGGAGAACGCTGAGCTTGGCGATTATGATGGCGGCACGGATAGCAGTAGCGACTTCCTTGGAAGTCTTGATTCCGAGACCGACGTGGCCCTCGGAGTCTCCAATGACAACAATGGCCTTGAAACGGGTTCGCTGACCGGCACGAGTCTGCTTCTGGACAGGCTTGATCTAGATCCCACGAAAAATGACCCTCATTAGCAACAATTGTAACACAGTCGCATAGAACAACTCAAAAACACTCAAAAACGCTAAGCGCATTATAATTCCATCACTCGTCCTCCTCCGAATGCTTGCCGTATGCAATTTCGAGGAAAGAAAATAAAAACGACGGTATGTCCGTACCTTCATGACCTCGTCCTTGAGCTTTGGAAGGAAGAAATCAACGATCTGGTATTCCTTGATGGGCAAACTGTGGAGGTAGATCTGTTCGATGCTGTTGATCTTGCCGGCCTTAACGAGACGACCGAGCTTGGTGACGGGCTGCCATTCCTTCTCCTCGCTCTTAGCACCACGACGTCCGCGACGTCCACCACGGCCACGGCCACGGTCTCCTCCACGCGAGCCAAAGCCACCGCGTCCTCGAGCAGCGTCAGCCATAATTGCTGGTATCGGAATCGATGGTGTTGTAGGATATGGGAGAGAATTAGGGAGGACCGGAGGACTTTGAGGTCGTTGTCGATGTTTGCGCTTGTCGAACGTCTTCGTCGCTCCAACTCGCTTTTCGATGTTCAACTTTCTTCTTTCGCCAGAAAACGCGATGTGGTGCATTACATAAGCCACCTCTAAGCGAGTGACCGGCGAACCCTCAAGCCAAGCCCTAAGCCCTACCTCGGCGCCCAAACAGGAGATCCCTTGGTCGTGGCGCTAAGCGCTTAAAGTGCGTCGGCTTTGCGGCAGATCAAGGTTTTGATCGCGCGATTTGAAGCCGGGCGGAAGAAGCTCCACCAGGTCAGCAGGACGAGAGGATGAGCAGAGATTGAGCCCTGCGATGGCGCGTCTTCTTCATCATTGTTTAGACCAGCTATATAAGCCTGAGGAGCCTATGAAGCTGGCTGTCTCACACCCGACGCTCCCAAGGATAAGGCAGGGAAACTCATAATGCTGCGGTGGTGAGTTCGCTGGGCCTTCGGGTCATCGGAGATATATCTTTCTCCTTCCCCTTGATAACTTTAGGATTCGTTCTTCTCATCATCTCTACGCAGGTATCAAGCAAAGCTGGCTGCTCGCCCATTGCTTACACAGAGCGTCGGTAGTGCTGTGAGTTTCCAACATGACGCTTCCTTCTCAAGTTTGCAGTTTGCTAATTGATGGCCTCTAGGTACTCTTTGGAACCGGAGATGTCCTAGCCCAACAGCTCGTCGATAGAGTCGGAATTGAGAAGCATGATTTCGCGCGTACTAGTCGAATGGTTCTCTACGGAGGAGGTATGCCACCCAGGACTACGTTCAAACCCTACAATGCGAGATCCAAGAGGCTGATAGTCACTCGTGCTTTGAAAATATAGCAATCTTCGGACCTGGCGCCACGACTTGGTACAAGTTCATGCAACGAAGCATAGTTCTTAAAAACCCCAAGCTTACATTAGTTGCTAGAGTGTGTGCAGATCAGACCCTGTTCACTCCTACGCATCTGACCTGCTTCCTATCCTCCATGGCGATCCTCGAAGGAAATGACCCATTGGAAAGGCTGCGAACCAGTTTTGGCACTGCCTACAAGACCAATCTCATGCTCTGGCCATGGGTACAGGCAGCCAACTTCACATTCGTGCCTTTGGAGCATCGAGTTCTTGTCGTCAACCTCGTTAGTCTTGGTACGTGTTTTGTTCCATGCGGCGAGCCTCCCCGCGAATACAGTACTTCTTTGCTAATTCTTGACTACCAACCTCTAGGCTGGAACTGCATTCTCAGTCTCATAAACAGTAAGGGTGAAAAGGATAGCGCCTAATCTGTTTCCCTGTTGTCGTGAATTCTTGTTGCGCTTTTTCTCGTTCTAAGCATAGCGATCCTTCTCCCCTCTCTTGCTTTTTCTTAACGTTACAAAGTGGCCACAGACCGGTCCTGCCACTTCGGCAGATTTATAGCATAGAATAGTTTGGAAGATTATATTTGTATTAATATACCACCTTCGTTTAGACGATAAATCTTGCTCCTGCAGTCACTTTCAACTCATCCGTAACTTGAGTACCCTATGAAAAGGGAGGGTTTGGTGCAAACAGTGCAAACTTCAAACC